CCCCCGTTATGCAGCCCTGTAAATGGAAGCCAGCCATAATTCGACCCTGACTAGACTATATATCCCGTATCGGCGATACGAGTACGTCCACGCACATATATACGTTATATTTCACGGAATGCTCTCGCATGCATGTTGCAATATTCAACGATGTTGACTCGAAGTAAAAGAGCGGGAAAAACGCGCGCGGCTTGCGTTAGATCGAAACCGAAGACTCCAAATGTCTACTTTCCTTCGCGGCCCGATCGGGAGAGACATTTCGACTCGAGTACCTATATTCGCGGGAACTCTATTCCGAGTCGTACCGATAACGTTTCGGCTGATACTTTCGGCTCTCTTCCGTGATAAATGTCTCGAACCAATAAGTCCAACGTAACGCTTGTAAATTGTCCGATGCAGCAATTAGTGCCGAATATTCAAAAGGGAAAGCATTACCATTCGATCCAAAGTGCGATCTTCGTTTTACTGCATTCAGAGAAAAACGTAGCGATAGCAACTGGAATAGACTTTTTATGGCAATAAGCCACTACAATAAGCTTGAGTCTTAAGCCGTAAGAAAAATTGATACCAATTATAATCTAATGTGAGAAGAATAATCTTCGACTATGATTCAATTTCTTACGGCTTAAGATATAAACTTAGGTAATAGCTTATTATAAAGAAAGTCCGTAAAGGTGAAGACTGTTGTACAAGTTTTCTATGCAGACTTAATGTGCGCAGTTGAATAAATAACTTCATGGTTACAATAACTACGTAGATTAATTCTGCGTATAAAAAAACTTGAGTAACTGTCACTTTTTCTAGCTGCTACCACTATATCTTTTTTTCTGAGTGCGAATGAATAATAGAGCTGAAAGTTAAGGTGAAGTCGAGTGAAATAGAATACATATATAGAGTAACGCGAATGACGTCTCTTCTTCGATAAACGATAATCGCGCGCGTAGAATCATCGATCAATTTACAAATTACAGTCGTTTCTCCTACCTTAAATGACCCAGTAAAACGACCAGAAATGGGCGAGGGGAAGGGGGAAGGAGAAAAAAAGAAAATGCATATCGGCGGCGGGTACAATGAGCACGCACGCACAACAATTTTTAAGGGGAGAAAGCGAGTGTGTACAGATTCCATGTGTATGTGCGATCCGCACACATTGTCGCTCTGATGCTGCATCATTGGTAGCGACGTCTTATGGTACCTACTCATTTCGTGACGGCCAGTAATAGCAGTTTAGCATAATTTACAGTAATGTACATTTGCCGCTTGCGGTTTTACCATTGCGTTCGCTCCCTGCTTTTATTTACGTTGACCGCAGGATTGCCGGATAGTCAAGACTATTTCTTTTTCTTTTTGCCTCCTCGCGAAAATGTTCGCGATTCTTCCTGACTACGCATGTACCCTCGACACCCTCGCTTTCAACATCGAGCGTCCCACTTTAAAGCCTGGCTCAAGCGGGTATACGATAACGCGATGTGCTAATCGAAATTGATTAATGATTATTGATTATCCATTTACTGGCTCGTTACAAACGCGTTAAATTTATTCTCGCTACGTGTTTACTCACGTGCTGTTACTTTCCATTTAATATTACGTATTCTGTGCCAATTTGACCCAGAATGAAAGACCCGATTTCCTTCGCGTTACTATTAAATCCAGGATCCAACGTTTGCGGTCCGAAAAGAAATCTGGCAATCCTGATCGACTTTGGGGTTCTCGTTTGCCTTTCCATAAGCGTTTTCCGTTTGGTTTCGCTGCTGTTCAGGATCAAGGGTAAAAAATCCGGTTTTCTAATATGTAGAATTCGATTAATTCCAAGCGGGATGTGCAGGTTACGCGGATACAAGTTTTATACGGAGGTACAAGTTATATCCGGACATTCGAATTTTCTCTGGATGCGATTCGGATAGCAATCGGATATTAATAATACCGAAAAATCGTATAGAAGTTTCGTATATCCCAACGGACACTCCGGATATGTGACAACTTCTCGGATTCTTTGATAACTCTCGATACAAGCATGTAAGGATAAAAAAACAAATTTTGTCGAAAGAGATTTTCATGTTGTACGTAAATAAATTTTTTTTTTTTTTAATTTAAACCTCAGAAAAAAAACTTATCGGAGATTACCGAACATCTCTCCTCAAATTCACCTTGAACAGACTTGAATCTTTTATCGGATATTCCACAAAATATCTCGAGATCCGATACTGTCAACTATCATTTACTTGAGTCTCACGTTACCTGCGCATACCACAAGCGCCATGAATTGTACATTGCTCCGTTGTATCGCTCGACGATGTAAATACAACGACGAACGTCCGACAGTTCTTCGGGAACACGTAGCTCAATCGGATACAGTGGGGTACTTAATCATTTTGAAGACATCCATCGAACGTTAATTTTTCGTTACGAAATTATTGTTGGACATTTTTGTCGAGCACTTCAACTGATACATCATTTATATGCTTTCTGCGACAAGCCACTGGCTGCATTTAGCAGAAAAAGTGGCTTTGCAACCGTTGTAAAATTCTTTAATATGATTAATCTTGCCTTTAGTTCCTCACTGGATCTGAGTGTATAAATCAATCATATTCAAGAATTTTACAACAGTTGCAAAGCTGTTTTTTTTTTCCTACTGACAGCAGTTATAATATTATCTAAGCTGTAAGTCGTAAGTAAAAAATTTATTAATTATGGTCGATTATATTGTTCTCACATGTGACTGTGATTAGTCAATTTTTTTACGGCTTAAGACTTAAAGTTTAGGTAATTATGGCTTATTGTAGAAAGCCTATTATACATGACGCATTTTACATATAGCAGCCGTAAAATAAAAATTGGTACCGTTTGAATAAAAAGAAAAAAAGTAGAAATAAACCCCTTTTTTTACGTCGTGTATTGTTATTTATTTAAACTCAACTTCTGTGTAGATTTACTCGAAATATATGGCCTCAGTACTTCGCGGGTTAAATGCCCCACGGATATCCGAATAATATTATAGAGTATTATAGGACAAAAACATGTGCCCCCGCACTAAGTGACCGTATACAGTGACACACGTAATCACGTACATATTTGCATACACGTTCGTCGCGACCACCGCCCTCTCTTATACTACTTAACAGTCCTTTTGACTTCGTAGGTAGATACGTATGATTTCGAATTATACGACAGCGACGTCGCCGACGACGACATCGAAGTAACCGCTGCAGTTCACCACTGTCGTCGAATTGTCTCCATTATATTATCGCTAATTTTCTTATCGTTATCATTATGAATTACGAATTATAATTATTATACACGACGTATATATATAGATATATGCGAAATAGCTTGTATAAAAGGAAGACTAATGCGATCTTGACCTCTTCGGAGGCAAGATGACGAGCGCACGTTTCTTCTAGAAGAGCAATTCGAGGTGATGTTGTCATCGTCGACATTATTGTATTAACGACATTATAATTTATTCTTGTAACGTCATTATCGTTATCGCTAACGATTGCCGTGATTGTCGTCGGCGCCTTTCGCAGCGGAAGCTACCATCGTACATACATTATATATAAATAATCGTTCTACCGCTAATCTCGCGTTTGGGGAAATCTCGACGTGAGAAATCGGTGCCCCGTGATTAATACACTGCGTATTGTAGCCGATGATCGTGACGGGTAATCGAATAAGAGAAAAAAAAAGAAGCGAGACACAAAGACGAATTATATGTATA